ATCAAAAGCTGGATAATTCAATCATGCAAACCACAATCCCTTCAGTGGAGACACCACATTCAGGGCACTCCTCCTCCTCCTCATCGTCGTCCACAAGAAAGGATGTCAAGACTTCTTCCGCATGCACTCAACATTATACCGCTCCCTTCTCTTTGCTGCCATTACCAGCAAAACAACAAAACAACCACCAACTCTGTCAACTCAGCTCTTAATCAAACTAGATACAAAACAGACATGCAGGGTAGGGAGCGGGTCGCTGTAGATAAAAAAAACGTCCTGTCGGACTGGAGTCTAAAACTTTATGCTCAGGATGCAGATAAACAGGGATTCTAACTGTTAACACATTGATATCAAGAATAAGATGAAGGCACATTAAAATTTAGGGGGCATGAGTTTGAATTGTTCTCTTCTTTGTTGCATTCCTCAACATATTTTGTCACTAAAGCAACAATGATGACTTGCACTAATGTAGAATTTGAAAATGTATTTCATTGAGTCTTAAAATTCAGGGTAAGGGATGAGAGTTGGGCTTTAATCCAGAGATTAAAGGAAAATCTTCTATCAGATTCACTGCCCTCTGCTGGAGGACACATGTCAAATAATTCAAAAACAAATTTATAATCAATAAGAAAATACTCCTCCAGGAAAATAACACATATTCCTCCGACAGCATCGGGCTCATGTGATGCACCCGTACGGGCGAGCATGGGCTCGAACACACGCACACATGAACGTACACAGGATGCAAACTAGGCTCAGTGACAGCTGCGACTTCTGCTGCACTTCTCCCACTGCCTCCCCCTCCTCCCCTCTGCTGTGACTCCTCACTCTGCACCCAGGCCACAGGGTGAGTATCAGGTGAGGTTTTAAATAGTGGGGCCTCAACGAGATGACCTCAGGGTCCCAGGGGTCTACCCCGTGGCCCCTGGCCTCTACACTTATGCACCCCCCTTGCCTCACCCCAAGAAAGTGCTCCGGGACCATGGGCCTCCCCTCTGTCTGTAGCCTTGAGACTACAACCCGCAGGCCTGTGCCCCCTAGTCCAGGCCGTAAATCAGAGGGACCATAAACTCATTTTAACTAATCACTCGCACATATCTCGTATCTTTAGTCTGTGTACGGTAAAAACAAAAGGCGTCTTCTGAACACTTACAGGCCTCCTTCTCTTTCTTTAGTCTACAGGCAGACCGCAACTCAGACCAGATTACAGTACAGCTCAAGCTCCCTGCTTAACCCCAAGTTTCAACTTCAACCCTTGCACCAGAGCTCAAGCTTCAAAAGCCCCCGTTTCCAAACTTTCTCCTCCTTGTAACCGTTCTCACCCATCAACACAGCCCCGACAAAAACCCCGCACTGCCACATCTCCAGCCCGCTCTCTTTGCAGACAGACCGAAGGAGCGAGGGTCCATTCCTACAGGAAGGCCAATGTTTACGCGATACTGTTTTAATTAGAGGCAGGCGGTGCTGCTATTTTCTTTACAATTTGGCCTGTGTTTGCCTTAACCCAGAATGCCAAGGGATGGCTCCGTTTTCCATTTGTAGCCAGAAGGAACTCTAAAGGGGTCTTATTCCTCTGGTCTGCATCTCCGCTGCCCCGAACGCGGCTTATGGTTAATCATCGTAAGATCATCTAGAATCATCTGCAATCTGAAACTGAGGATGTATCTGAAGTCGAGCAGAGGTCAATGGGCACGGGCTCCGACACTGAGGAAAACATCAAGAGTCACGTTTGTGTGTGTGGAGAGGAAAGTAGGAGATACACAATACTACAACTTCCTGTTTCAGCTAATAATTTCCTGTGAGCGTCACACTGGATATATACATTAGCTGCACTGTGAATGCAATCTGCCCTAAATGCACTTATCATGTGATCCATGCAGGGAAAAAAAGACTTTAAGAATATAACTGTATTTCACAATATTTTTAGAGACGTAAAAACCCAGAGCTGTCCTCCGAGGTTAGACACGTTCACGTTCTTTGTGCAGGCGTGCATCTCACTCCCAATTGGTCTCTGTCGCTTTGTCTAATAAACAGAACTTCCTGTGTCTGAGTGTTTATAAACAGTGCTGAGTGAGCACCGTGTGAGAAGAGACAATCTCTGTGAAAGCTGCAGCACGTGATTGAGTGTAGGATAAACACACTGGCCAGCTCCAGGAGGCAGTTAATGGTGGTCTGCTGCAGACCTCGACCGCCTCCACGCAACCAGAGGGAAGGCGACGACAGACACGGAGTGAGATCGCAAATGTAAAAAAGCGGCTCCGTTCCATCGTGGGGACTGAGAGAACTGAGAGATTGAATATGAGATGGGAGTAGTGTGTCTGTGTGTGTGCCTGCGTGCGTGCGTCTACAGGCCACACAGCTTCCAGGCGGGGTCGTCCACGGGTCGCCAGCGAAGGGCAGTTCCAAATCAAACATAAACAGCCGCTCTGTCCTCTCCTCCTCTCTCCTCTTTTTCCTCTCGGACGATGGGCCAGTCCCCCAGCACGGCCCAGCACAGCGTTCCACGGTCCAGGCAGAACTAATCTATCCCTCAGCTGTGCAGTCTAATCTAAACAAACAGATCTCTCCCTACCAACATCTGGAACCCCTCACGTACCGGGACCTAGGAAAACCACCGCAGCCCAAGTCTCTTTGTCAGTGTTTGTGTGTGTGTGTGTGTGTCTTTGTGTGTGTGTCTGTGTGTGTGCTTACGAACGGATCTCTGTGTGTCGGTGTGAGTCAGTGTGAGTCCATGTTGGAGATGTCTACTAGAGGTCACAAGCCGCGGCTCAGCTGTCAGCAGGTCAGGTTCAATACAGAGCGAATCTCTACTGTCAATTAATGGTTTAATAGTGAAGCTCTGACAGGTCAGAGCAAAAGCAACAATTGTTTTACTGGTTAATCGCCAGATACCTTCCAATTTGTCTTATTTAATGTCAACCACAAATTATCATCCATGGATTCTTTTTTGTTTAATATATTTGGTCCACAAATGTCTCCTAGTCCAAGTTATTGGGACACTAAGCAATGTGGTGAAACAGCTTTTTTTCCCAATCCAACCAAAGATACTTAATTTAAAAAGACATAGAACAGAGATAAGTAGTAAATCCAACATAGTTTAGTAGTGAGTAGCTGCAACAACTTTTGTGACTCAATAAACAACTTTTTTGCCAATAACAAGTTTCAGGTATCAGATATTTGAGCCCATGATGACAAAAAGGGATCTCAATAAAAGGAAAAAGATGGAATCTGTGTCACAAAGTATGCAACGGTTTCACAGAGCCAACTAAAACAGCACTCAGCAGAGTCCTCTTAAATTAAATAAAAACCAAATCCAGATCTGCACCAATATTTAACGGGTTCTTCCCTGACCTATGCCGCAACCTCCCACCATGTTCTGTTGTGATCCGTTAACTTGCTTTTGTGTAAAATTGCTCATAAACAAACCAATGAACAAATCAACAGACAGGTGAAAACACAACCACCTTGGTGGAGGTAAAAGGTATCTACACATCTATAGACACTTCATAGGTTAGAAAAGTTTCGGCTAACTACACTACTTCCAGAAACGCTTCTTGAAAGGGTAATGGTGTGATATGGACAAGTAAATAAAGACAAATGTGATTCAAAAGTTGCTCAAACCAAAATGTATGTACTTATACATCAGATTTTTGTAAAGCAGGGAAGTCTGACAGAGGTAGTTCCGGCCAAATGTTTGAGGATTTTCTCTGATAAATGATGAAAAATGATCAAAATAGTCAGTGATTACTTTTCTGTCACTCGATTTCAACCCTGATACATAGTGGTAGATTAAGGCCTCATTGTCATGTCTGTACCTCTGGGTTTAATATGGTGCCCCTCAGTGTAGCACACATGACCTTGGCCTGACATGTGAAGCAGGGTGTGAAAACAAGTGTGTTCCCCTCACTACACTCAGGAGTCTTACACCAAAAGAAGGTCCCCCTGGCTTACACCACTGCCGACTGCGCCTGCGCTGCACATTAGAAGAACATGCTGTCTGTCAGACCCCTGCAGCAGCACGCAAGGAGAGAACAGCCAACCCAGGGAGGAGGTGGGGTGTTTGATCTGGTCAGGAATCGTCTGCTTTCATGTTGGATCTCAGAGGTTATTTATTCTTTGTATTCGAGGGAGGGTTGTTAAGATGGAGCGAAAACAGAAACATCAACATCTGTGTATTAACAATGTTTTATTTCTGTTTTTATGAAGCAAAAATACATATTCAGTTTCCCAGCAGCGAAATCTGCTCCTCCATTCATGACTCCCGCAGCACACTCTAGTCCTAAGTGCAGGAATGCAGATCAAAGCAAAGGGGGGAAAAAGCGCAGCCCCTTCCCCTTACACCCCCCGAGCACCACCCATACGCACAGTTCCCAACTCCTTCAAAAATATTTCTTCATAAGTCGTTTTTTAAAAAGAAACAGAAATAACAACAAGTGAGTCGTCTCCGTCCGCTCCACAAACACAAAATCCTGCCCCTCGCTCCGCTTTTTCCCTGCAGCCGGAGACAAATCTTTTTGGAAAGTTGAGAGCTGTCCAGAACGGGACCACACACAGTCTCTGAGCATTCAACTGCTGGGGGCAGACAGACACACACTCACTCACACACTCTCACTCACACACTCTCACAAAATGGCGGCTTTGACAAAAATTTCCTCTACCCCAAAAGCTGCTTATGAACTTAATTACAGCCTTACTGCTGAGTGCAGTTACTGCCACCCCTTACACGTCCTGTGTGTGTGCATGTGGTTGGAGGAGCTCAACGTATGGAGGATAAATACAAGGATTTTCAAAGTTTCAACTGGCCTCTTGCCAGGGCCTAAACAATAAACAATTCCCTGAGGCTTGTTAAGCAGCAACACTGTCCTCCTCCAATATGAAGCATTCCCAACATGCAATATCAAGCTGGACGGCTGAAAAGAGTAGTTCAAGCAGCTCACATTCAAACACAACAGCCCAGATGACATGTCCAAAACAGCCAATAATCAATCAAAGTGTCTTACCTTCCACCCAGAGTTTCTCCACGTCCGTCTCCAAATTAGCGGCCCTTAAGCCCACAGCGAAAGCTCCGAAAATCATGAGGCCCACCACCAAAAACTTTCCGCAGTTCTTTTGTATGTAGCAGCCCAGCCTAAATAAGAGTCTCTGGAACTTCGCTCTCAGCCATAGAGGAGCTTTCCTCCCGGTCGCCCTCCCCTGCAATCAAGACAAGAGTCCCGATGTTAGTGTCACATGAAATGCAAAAAAACATTGTACTTACTCAGACAGGTGAATCTGCAATGGTTAGGGATCGTACGGACAGAGAGGTGACCCCTGCAGGTGGCCTCTAAATGTGTTCGTATCAAAACATTTTAACTACAGCTTTGGCCCCCGGGAACCTCTGGGGTGACTAGTTTTGATTTTAGAATGGGGGATTTAAGGGGGAGATGTGATCAACAAATACTGAAACACAGTCTCTGGCTGTCTCGCTCGGCTGACCTTTGGTGACTGAAACACACACATCTGCCGCAGGGGGGACCGCCCGGAAACCGCTGGAGAGACTCCCCGGAGCGAGAGACACCGGTTCTGTCGTATCAATGACATGTCTCAACTGTAACCTTAGCAGGATACGTGCAAAAAGGAGAGATATGTGCATCACCTTGAGCGCACGGGCTGGTACATATCTGTCAGTTCACTGCTACAGTGATGAGTTCATTAAGAAAAGAAACACTGACAGTGGAGGAACAGGTCTGTGTTGCTCTGCTCCAAAATAAGGCTGCAGCAGGACCTCGGAGTGGATGGAAGGTAAATAAGAGGAGATGTAATTATACAGTAGGGGGTCTTGTGATGATATGCATCCACTGTGTCTCTACTTCACTCAGAGATGGAAGAATGTAGGTTCTTTGGTCTAAAAATCCTCCACAATACATATTACTCCTGCAAAATAACACAGTGTAGTCAATGTAACATACCACAAAGTGTAAAAACAGGCTATACAGCAATAATATATATGAAGAGTGGTGTAAGAAGCGAACATCAACACCCACACATCACGTTGAGATATGAAAAGGGGTGCATGTGGTGAACCCCCCACATATAAGCACCACACACCGACTCCACTCCCCGTGTGTTCCGGCCTGCGGTGGTGGTGGAGGAGTGGAGGAGCCATCACAGGGGGACTCGCAATATTTTGTGAACGAACACATGGGTTTTCCTTTTACGCATGAAGTCGCCAAAGTTAAGACGCCACCGTAGAAACCTTTAACTTAGACGTCAAAACTTTTTAAAAGATGCTTATGTGCAGAAAAATGTATGTGGTTGTTATGAAACAGGCTCCGGGAGAGTTGACTGCGGGCGAGAGCTGCATGTTTTGCCCTGTCTCAGACCGTTATAGGTCGGGATGTTGCAGCAGGCACAGTCGTGGTAGAATCGTGTGGGGGAACTTGCATCCTAACACTGGCTGCAGGGGAAGGATCGAGCTGTTGCACGGAATAAAACAACTTTATGGCTCACTACAACCTCTCCGTCCCCCTGCGTCCCCCTCGCCCAGCCTGTCCCGTTACCTATAGCAGCCACTGGACACACTTTAGACACTTTTGTCGGGCGAATACAATTAAATGAAACCGGGAGCGTAAAGCTGTTTCCCGGGTGAAGATGGGAGAGAAAGCACCTCTGATATTTGCTCCAAAGCGAAGCCGGCATCGCAGTAGCTCGGCCGCTGCAAATACTCCAAATCCAGCGGTGTGCCGCGGGTATAGTCCCCCCTGTTCCTCCGCGTTACTCTCGGCCGATCGGGGTCTCTGTTTTCCTGCTCGGAGGGCGCATTAGCAGCCGAGGCCATGTTGTGGGGACTGCGCGATGGTCACCGTTTCCCACGTTAGAGTAGCTCCCCGAAATCGTGCAGCGATATCCCGCGGCGGCGGCAGGGTTTCACTCTCGGAGATCCCGTGAAGTAGGGCTTCATACTCCGGTCGGAGACGGCGAGTCAAAGTCTGCGCCTTCCATCCCAACATTTCGTGATCCGGAGGTCTCCGCCGCTTCCACCGCACTCTCCGAGCCTCTGGAGGAAAAACAAAAAGTGAAGTTTCTCTCAAAAAGCGCCGTGCGTAAAGTGATTCCCATACACGAGTGGAAGAAGGGTGAGAACACTCGACGGTCGTGGCATTCTGCTGAGATCTATGTGGTCTTCCCCTGGGCCGCGCGTCACGGCCAACTCTGAGATTCAATAGAAGAGGAGAAAAGACCTCTCTCCATTTGGAGGCAGAGGAGGAGGAGGGGTGAAAAGGAGGAGAAGACGAAGAAAAAAAAGGGAAAGACTCGAGATCCCGCCTCTGGGGCTGTCAGATCGCAGGACTTTCTCGCATCTGATTGGTTCCAGAAGGGCAAAAATTACTCAGCAAACACGACTATTATTAGCTGCTTAGCAACAGCTCACTAAAGTAGAGAGACCACCCAGGCGCACGGACCTCATGGGTGCATCTCCAACTTTCAGGGGGGGGAGGCTCGTACACAGAGAGCCAAACCAGTCTGGTGCGTTTGGTTTGGTGCTTTTTTGTGGAAGGTTTTCCACACATGTGCCCTGTTGCCCGGAGGAAGCGTTACCCGGAGAGGACCTGCAGTCTGAGGCAGAGGTGCGGGGAGAGGTCCGTGCGTCTTAAGGAGGCTGAGGAATGTCAGAACCGAGATTTTTTAAGATTTTTTTTCTACCACCTCCATGATGGTGGTGGTTGAGCCTCAGATTACAGCGGTGGAAAGGGAGGTGCCACAGTATAGTATCCTTACTTCGTCAGCCCCACTTTAACATATGGACTTTATTGGCTCTTATAGTGCGTAAAACATAGTTTATGCCACATTCAATAAACTGTTTGTGGAAATTAATCCAACATCTGAATCTTTTTGGATTTCACAATGATTAAACATCTCTATTCAACATATCAAACATTAAATAATCACTTTTTACATACATTCACATTAGATCATATTATGCACAAACAATATATGTGTATTACCTTTTTTAAAGCCACGGTGTATTTACATCTGTAAATTACGCATGGGAATGCTTTCCTCTTAATTTCTATACATTTTGTTGTTAATCTACTATTATAGTAGATTAACAACAATACGACAGTAGTACTATTATATTGATTCAGATAAAAAATCTATCACTTCATATTTCATATAGCAGCTGCAGAGATCAGTTATGCTCCATCCATTCATTTCGGTCACTGTGCCAGAAGATGGATACATTTTTACAAAGTCTGATTAATTATATTACAATAAACATATTCATGATGAGGTGATTAAAACAACACTACAATTCAAAGACTTAAACTCTTCATTTCAAGTATAAAGGAAGTCTCACCTCGTGTAACTCACACTAACCTGCCTAAGTGAAGAATAAAGCAAAGCAAAAGTGATAATATTAATAATAACAATGGTGGGTATTAACCAGTGTAACCACTTGTTGGACCGGAGCAGAGCTGGATCAACAGACCCTCACTTCACACCTGAGCTCTCCGGGCTCAGCAGCAGCTCGTCCCGCACCACTCACCATCTCTAGTCCAGGTGGAGGCGAGTAGAGCTCCGGACAAATCGTGATATCCTGCCCCCTGTGCCGTGGTAGAGAGTCCGAGACGATTTCTGTTACGATCTAGATAAGAACAGCTGATCTGGAGTTGTGAGGAGAGGGAAAAAAGATCGCATCGTAATGCGTCTTGTGCGCAGACATCCTGTTCAAGGTTCACTCATAATTACGCCACGTGGGTGGTCCAGTGGTCCCGCTCGCTCCATATACGCAGGAACTGTTGAGTGTCACGTGATAAGACCGAGATTGTAAACAGTACCAACCCAGGCAAAGCAGAGCAGCATCCTGTGTGTGAGGCAGGCAGTGATCTAAACACACACAGGCAGAAAAAACAACACACAATTACATTCTACACACACACACACACACACCTGCACATGCACAGGTGCACAGACAAACATATCTGTATACAAATAGTGGAGACATGTGCACACACATGGCATGCACATGCTACATCCACACAGATCCAATATTTTGTGTTATTCACTTTCCTCAAATGATCAAACTTTTTGTTTGGTTTATATCACGAGATTTAAAGGTTCAGTGTGTAGAATGTAGTGACATCTAGTGGTGAAGTTGTGTGTTGCAGCAGAATACCTCTCATCTCACCCTCCCCTTCCCAACATAACAGAGAACCTGTGGTGCCCTTCATTTGTCACTAAAACTCAAAAGGTGTTTAGTTTGTCCAGTTTGGACTCTTGTAAAAAACATGGCGGCCTCTGTAGAGAGGACCCACCCCTGATGTAAGTTTAAAGTATTTAAATATAAAGAGCCCATTCAAGAGTAAAGAAAACAACAATTTGTACAATTTAGATGAAACACACTAGAGAAAACCACATTTTTTTATATTCTATTTCTGCCAATAGATTCCTTTCACCTAAATCCTTCACTTACTTCTCTGTTTGGATCAACTCGACCCCATCTAAAAAGTCTCTTCCCTAAAGAAAAGCTCAGACAATGTTTTGGAAATGCTATCTTTTCCAAATCTAAACAAGTGGTTTCTATTCAGTCCGAACAACATTTCGCTGTTTCTTTGGAGTGAGTATTATGGGTGTGGATGTAGACCCCCACACCAGCTTCAACAATTATATCATTTCACCAGCATCAGATATCTCTGGTGTGGAGTCTCAGCAGGGGGAGAGAAAGCATCTAAGGCAAAACAAAGTTAGCCTGCGATGCCCCCTAATGCCTCTGAATAGAACCAGGCCTGTCTCTGAGGAATGTGTCCTTAAAGTGAGCAGGAGTCATAACTGCTGCACAATATCTGCACGAGACATTTCCAGGCTGTTGTGTTGACGGTAACGCTGTAGGACTCCATCAAAGAGCCATAGGTCATTGTGGGAAAAACGGCCCTCCCCTTCGAAATACTGTAGTGTGGAGGCTGTAAAGATATGCCAGTAAAAAGGCTCTGGGAGATTATATTGCAAGCATCTGTGTGAACTAATGAAATACATATGCACATAAGATGCCAAAACACCCTTGACCAAGTATGAGCATATTTCCTTTTTTTTTCATTAACCGTCATGTGCTAATATGGATCAGATGGGCTAATTGTTCATTTAAGTTTGAGTTGTACAAAGCAGGGAGATTCATATTCCCAATCAGCTTCCTTTCATTTTGTGATTGCAGGCATTGATTTGAAAGATTCTAAGACTTTTTTTTGTAATGAGTACGGTGAGTTTATTTAGGTTTATTGTTCTTTAAATGAAAGCAGCAAGATTTAACGGTAGTTGCAGCCAATACATGTGTATCATTACTAATTTAGCTTTATTGTATATGTATTCAACACGAAAAGGCTATACAGTCACTGATTAAAAGAAAGTGTTTATCGTAGGACACTTCATCATCTATTCTATTCAACCTGTACATCTTGCCCGCAGTTGAAGAGCACATTTACAATAATGTTCATAAATGTGTGTTGTCCTGAGAAATAAATGTAATGAAATGAAATGAAGATGATACAGTTCACTGTAGCTGAGAGGATTAGATGATTCATTATTTTTTTGGAGCAAAAATGTTCCCTGCTTCCAGCCTCTCAGTTTTAAGGACTTTATTATTTTTCTTTTGCAAGATACGTTGCAAAACAATCTAAAACAATGTGAAATGAAATGATATAAAATGAAGCTATACGGGATAAGGGTGTAGCTGTATCCATAACTTCCAGGAGATTCATTTCAATACTTCCTGGTGATGTTCAGTTCTTTCACATCGTGCCACCATCACAGCAAATTTGTAACTATTTGTGCTTTGTCGGATATTTTGATGGTTGATTGATTGATTGGTTGAATGAGTTTTGTTATACAGTCATCAAGGCACATTGTATGATAAGTATAAACAATAGAGACAGTGTGAAAAATATCCACATTATGTAGGCTAGTATATGTCTGTCTATATCCTCATCAAAATAAGCTACCCTCCAATAATGGATATTGATCAGGTTAATGAAACAGGTTTGGAGCTCACACTGATTCTCTTCAGCCGGCTGTTGAGCTGCTCTTTATAGGTCAAGAATGATTTGTTATGTCAGCTGTTGGAATCAGACTTCATAGTGATGTTTTGTGTTTCCGAGGATCCCCGATGACTAATGTTTGCCTTTTCTGTGGTCGTTTATATTTATCTCAGTCCTCTTCCAGATTCACGTGGATTCCTTAATGAGCTAAGGAGATGACGTTTTCATTTAGGAGTTGGAGGAATTGGGCATAAATCCCAGAATGACTTCATCAGCCAATCGCCTTCTTTGACCCCTGGCAGGGCCCTTCACACCCCTCAAGGCTGGTGGCTGGCGAGCGGCCATGGGAAAAAGGAGGGAAAACCTTGTTTAGTGCATGCACTTATTTATGATTTGCAGGTGGATTACAGTTCAAAACAGCAGTGTGCCAACATATTGATTTCCTTAAGTGAAAACCAAAGACTCTTTTAGAAAACTAAAAGGAGACTTGGGGGACCTGTCAAGATTGCAAATCACTTTTTTGGCTATTACCTTGAGAGATGATCAATTTCTAATGCCCATTTCATCACCTCTGGCATAAAAAAAACATTTTTGTTGGTTTACATGAGAATTCATGAATCTTGAAGAAAAAAATCTAAAATGTTAAGGGACTGTAATCTATGTTTGCAATTGGGGCAGCTTGACTGAATCTAAAGGGACTGCCGGGCCTTGGCTCTACTGAGTGCCATCCTACGTTGAACTGAACAGAAAACTAAAACGTCTCATCTCCACGCTTTCCAAAATCAGCAAGTTTCTTACTTGAGTAGTTATGGATGAAAATAATGGAGCAGTTTGTGTTTGCAGCAACACTTCATGAGCCAAAATGGAGGAGTGGTGATGATGATCCGGCTGCAAATCCACTCACAGTGAAGTACATTGTAAAAAAACAAAACACACCTCTTTATTGAAAACAAATGAACTCAGGATCCTTGTTAAGTAAGTGAGAGTTTCCCTCTGTCTGTGAGTCTACTTCCAAAATAAATAGACAAACACAAAAAACAACAACTTTGACACACTGTACTTCATGAGTATGAGTTCAGCCTGGATGACTTTTTACTGCTATTTATTTCCTCCGCCAAGAACGTTGTGTGTTTGTTTGTGAAAGCAGAATTACACAAAACCTACTCAACC